CAGAGGTTTCCAAGGAAGCAGAAGCCTTCCTAGCAGAGGTTTCCAAGGAAGCAGAAGTGATCCCAGCAGAGGTTTCCAAGGAAGCAGAAGTTATCCTAGCAGAGGTTTCCAAGGAGGCAGAAGCCCAAACAGCAGAGTTTTCCACAGAAGCAGAAGTCCTCCCAGCACTCCCAGCAGAAGTCCTAACAACCAAGGAAGCTGAAACTGTGGCTACAGAAGATGTGAAACTACCCGAGACTACTGAGGTTGCTGCAAAGGAAGGAGAAGTCATCCCAGCAGAGGTTTCCAAGGAAGCAAAAGTCTCAACAACCAAGGAAGCTGACACTACGGCTACAGAAGATGTAAGACTCCTTGAGACTACCGAGGTTGCTGCCAAGGATGCTGACGCCAAGCCAACAGAGGCTACAGAGGAGGCTGGAGTAACTGAAGTCACAAATGAGAAGGACTCAGCATCTGTTCTCAACATAGAAACCGAGGTTGACACAGAGACCATTGTGTCAGAACAGTCTGGGAAACTTGAGAGTCCAACCACTGAGAAGTCATCTGCCTCTCAGACTCCCATGACTGAAGAAGCTGAACCCAGTCAAACTGAGAAGCCTCTTTCAAGCAAACAGAGTGGAGATGACGACAACAAACCACCAGCAAAGTCAAGTCCAACAAAATGATCACTTGGAATCTTTGATGAAATCCTATTGTGAATGAGTGCTGCTGTAATTCTTAAATGCTTGAGCCTTAAGTCTGAATCATTCACTTTGAATTCTGTCTGTTTGTCTATCAATGTGTGTAAATTAATTACTGTGGGTGCCAAAATTAAGGTAATAGTTTGATTATGGCCTATAGGTGTGCTGAGTCTGGGTAAGAAGATGTGTTAACCACTGGCATTGTGCTACTATTGCATTCTGCTTTCTTCCTTTCACTCTTCTGGTTGTCATGGCCTTTTTCTAATGTAAATTGGCCCTCTAAAAAGGATGTTCTCGCATGTTTGCTGACCAGTTCTGGCAAGATTTAAATTACACGCAAAATGTTCATTCAGAACATTCCTCCCTGGCACTTCTTGGCAAGAGCACTGGCACAATTAAGACCAGCCCTTGAAAAATAAAACTGTGGATTCTGCCAGACTCTTATTTAAATGTAGTTGGAGGTACTATGTAGGTCTGACTTTGTGACACTAGGTCCACATAAACCAGCTTCCACAATATCCACAGTTTACATCTGGTGTTTGAGACTTTTGTGTACTGGCCTAGCCATACAGATGTTTTCCAGATAAGGTGCTTTCGATCCAGGTGGCTGTTTGACCTCTCTTGCACATGTGCAGAATAAAAAAAAAAACACATTAAAAATTGTCCAGTATTGATGTAGTTTATTTTCTCTTTCCACTGGGGATTGTATGTTTGGTTGTGTGTATGCATGTGTGTATCTGTCCGCATCTAAAACTTCTGGACCCATCAACCTAATATTTCTTGTGCACATTGATGACTGTATGCTCAAGGACATTGAAAACCCCATAGAAAAGCTTGTTCTCATCTGCAGATTAATTCCATACCTGATATGTTATTATCCACTATGTTAGACATAATATTTTTATTATCTTCACTGTCATCTTGAGTGTAAGGGAGCCTTCTTCTATAGTTTTACTGGCTGACTACAAACCATCATGTGCATACTGTCACCTACTTTAGAGGGAAATATCATGACATTATAAAGAAGTTATATTCTCAATATTAAACCGGTGTCATTTAAATATTTAAATGAAGCCCTTTGAACCTGTAATTGTTTGCCCTGTCTCTAACACACATTTGATACTCCCATCCCCTTGCTTCAGCCATGCTGTAATAAAGTAACTGTAAGGGAGCTTTTTTGTTTGGGAGAGAGGGTATGGACAGGTTTTATTCTGTGTAGTTGTGTTAAAACAAAATGTCCTAAATAAATAACAATGTTAATTTGAGATTTTCATTGTTTCTTTATTAAGTTTATACAGCTAGGTTACAATACCATTACACTATTCTATACATCTGAAATAAAACTGATTATACTATACAAAACATTTGATTAAAAACTGCATACATCTATATACGATAATTTACACTATACTATATAAATACCACTTTATTCAAAACTTAGCAGTTGTATCTGTTCCCTGGTGGAGATCTGCACTAGTATTGGTGCTAAAAGAATCGACTTATAAACTACTCTACAGCATCTCAAGAAAATGAATCAACAATTTTGGTAATCAAGTAATCATTAAATTGACCCAACATTTCCACCCTTTTCACATGTAAGGATGTTTTTTTGTTGCTTTTTCTCAGTATTATAACAATTTGAATATCTTTGGATTTCTGACTACTGTTCAGACAGAACAATTCAAAGATGCGAACTTTGGAAATTTGTTATGTAAATGTTATAGATGAAAAGACAACAATGATAATAATTAATTAATAATCATTAATAACAGCTATAAATTATATTTTTCAAAGAATATTTGACATTGTGAATTCCTGTGGCAGGTAATATTTGGGAATGTGCGTGCAGGTTGAAGAGGTACACATGTATTTACTAAAGAATATCCAACCAAGGTGAACATATTCTTTTAAATGCCCTCCCAGTCACTGGAATGTGTCATATTGTGCCTGTGGATAATAGTGGAGGGCTTTTCTCAGTTGCACCAGCATGACATTGGCATTGTTAGTCATTTCAGAAGTGTTGTTAGTCAGTGCTTATGAAATTTCTATTTGAATTATAATAAACCAAACTGAAGTTGTCAGCAGGACCTCTCTGTATAATCTGTCTGTTGTTGCTGCTCTGAAATAACCTCTGGCTATGAGAATGTGTTCTCATCTACGCTCACATGATTGGAATGACACAATCAAACATCAGAGGTCACTGTTGTGCTTCAATGGCACTTTTAATAAAACAGACATTTCATCCTCACAACAGCAATGTCTGGACAGAGAGAACGAGGGGGGGCTGGGTGAGGGTTCCCTCTGCTGATAGGCTGGTTGCTCCTGATAAGTGAGAGGGAATTGGATAAAGAAAATTGAACTGTGCTGTTGAGCACAGTGTGGGGAAGATGGAGGGGTGTGTGTGTGTGTGCGTAGTGAACTGACTCATCTTGGCTGGCATTTATTTCTCCTACCGTGTCTACTAAAGAATGATAATATAGCAAAGAGAACCCCGACCACAACCATACACTCTCCCCTCCCCCTCACATATTTACAGGAAAAATTAATACATTCAGTTAATTCACTAAGTAACAAAGCTAATTAATCTGTGTTTTAGCAGAAATCACATGGTTTCACATCCAGTTTTCAAACAGACTCGTCTTTCTGTTCCGTTCCTATAATCTTTACGCACACAGTCCATCATTAGGTTTTCTATTGATAAACGACTCACACAAAAATCCCCCCACGCACCCCCTTAAAGACTGTTAAATCCCACTTGCCCGTATTTATAACTATTTACAGAAGCAGCAATCTAACCATCACAAAAACCCACCCACCCACCAGTCTCATTTGCCCCTCCCCACGCCAACAAAGTCCCACTCCCACCCGATACAGAAAAAAAATATCCTGACACCCGTCTTGCCGCCCCCATTCCATACACTGCCCACATCTTACCCTGTTCTAAAAGAGCATGCCAAGTTTAACAATGAACACAGAAAATGTCTCTATACAGAAAAAACACCCCTAAAAATGTTTTTTTTTTTCTTCCTCCTCCCACAATGGTGGACATGGACATAAGACAAAATTTCAGTGGCAACAAATAATCGTCATCTTGCTCCATTTTGGGAATTTTTTTAGTGCTGACAGGGACCGGGTTTAGTCATAAGAAAGTCCTGTCGTGGGGGGGTTTAAGGGGGCCATGTTATGAACAGTGGGAGGGCAGTTTTTCAGGGTCTCTGAGGCAACAGTTGGCCAAGGGGCAGTTTAGGAAGGGGGATGAGGGGTTTTGTAGAGGACAGGGGAAGAGGTTGTAGGGGAGGGAGTCTAGGGTGTTTTTTTTGTTGTTGTTATTTTGTTTTTTTCAGAGTCAGAGGTGGCGGGGACTAGGGTGGCCATTGTGGTAGAGCTTCTGCTTGATGTGGACCATGTTGCCGCTGGAGTCTTCCAGCTGTCTGAGCTGGGCCCGACGACGGAGGTCTCGAAGGTTGCAGAACTGGGGCAGCCATGACCAGGACGGGGTATCTGGAGGAAGGAGACGAAAGGTAACGTCATCTCCACAACTTACATACTATTTGCTGGCCTGTATCCACCTCTGCTGGATGCAATAACCCCATGATGGATATGAAGAATTGGTTGTCTGTTAGAAGTTGGTACCCTAAATTATCATAAATAATAATATCATTGAACATAGTATGACTTATACCTATAAACATAACAGCATTAGTATTAACATGGTAATAAATGCAATAAAAGAAAAAGCCTAAGAGTTCTAAAATCTTAATTTAAAAAAAAATTATAATTTCCAAAGTACAATTAAAAAAGTCATCCAGCCCATTCAGCTATATGTTAGTGATGTAAGGGGCCAACTTGTAGCTATACCCGTTTGGACAAACATCTAACAGAATCTTGAATTTTGCAGATACACGTACACAGAAAAACGGCAACAAATGTATGCAGAGCAGAATTAGGCAGATACCCACTGAAAATTGATATTCAATAGAGAGCACTCAATTTTTAATCGCCTTAAATCCAGACCCCTATCCTCCACTCCAAAGCCCTCCAAACCCAAGAGCTGAGCCCAGAAAAGAGTCCCCTGTGTCAATTTCTGCCCCCTCTCAGGCGCACTCTGACCAGCCTCACAGCAACCAATCAGAGTAAATCATATTATAAGGCAAAGAAACCTATTTTGAACATTGAAAAGAAAAAGCCAAAGTAGATTAGAATGTTATCTTGCCCTTAAAAAAGATTATGAATTAGCAGAATATCTCTCTACTGTCAGAGATAGAAAGCAGAGACAGATCCTAACCAAGTACAGGCTCAGTGACCACAAATTGGCAAACAAAAAAAGGAAAACACAAAAGACTCATGGCAACCAAAAGAAAACAGAACATATATAGTCCTCTTTTGATCTTACTTTTTGGAATTTTCCCTTTATTTGACAGTGGAGACAGACTGAAAACATGTAATGACATGGATGACATGTAACAAAGGTCCAACACAAAATGGAAGTTAAGATTACATGTGCCTTATTGGTGTCAAGGACCCCCAAATTGATACAATCAGGCTATTGGACCCATTTTTGATAAGATGTAGTCTCATTGATCTATGGCTGATAAGATTTAGGTATTCAATAACTGTCTATACTGTAGATTAGCGGATGTACAGTGAAGAGTCTGAAACCTATGAGCAGCCAAGCTTATACATTTTGTCATTGTGATAACTTCTAGTCAGTGAAATAATAGTGAAATTAAAGTATTCCCAATTTTTCTAGGGACCCACTGGAACCCCCTCAAGGACCCCTGGGTGTCCCCAGACCCCAGGTTGAGAGCCACTGCCTTAGACAACTAGGTCATGGCGACCCCCAGAGTGAGCATTTTAAACACACAAAAGGGACAAGAAGGAAACACCTCTGCGTCAGTACTGCAACAGAAAGTATGACGACACTGATGCCAGAGTAGCAATACTTTGTCATAATCAAAACATGACACAATATTGATTATTCCCGTCTCTGCTCCCCGTCTTTAGTCTTACTCATGCGGATACCTGAAAATGTGTAATGACTTAACAAGTGGTTTATTGTTAGCCAACACTGTGTTGCTTTTGTAGTTGTGCAGACACGAGCAAAGACAACTGAATGCCGGCTTTTGAAGATGATACACTCATGAGATCGAGACACACAATAGTGTAAAATCCTTCTTAGCCTGGTTTTCTGGCTCTAAATCCAGTTAGAGGCAGACAAGACATAACAGCCAGCAACACAGAGGACTGATCTCTGTGCTGTCAACTGTCCTTTCTGGATGTTAATGTCAGTGAGTCCACTTTAACACTCATTTTCTCCTGTAACACTGTTTATATGAATTTATTGCTAGGCTGGTATTTGCTTGTCATTTTATCCATCTCTGATATGAGTCTTCTTTTTTTTTATTGTAACACTCAGTTTCAGTGCAGAGTTGATGGTCTAAATTCAGATTTTCTACCCCAACAAGAAAATTATTCTGAGCAAAATGTTGAATTATGTATTTAAAGAAAAGTGATCATGTGTCTCAAAATCACATCTTCCATGCAACATTTAGTATTTTCAAAAATAGGCCAGTTAATAAAACAAAAAATGACCCCAAATCAGATGCAGTAAGGTTTTTGTAGTCTATGGTTAGTATAAAAGTAAATTATAAGCTCCACACAGACCACAGACTGGAAAAGCTGGTGTTTAATATGTCTTTTAGCCACCAGCTTCATCATAGCTATAAACAATGTTTAATTCTGGGAAGTAGGGGTGAGCTTCTTACAGTAAGGGCAGAGTGACAAAGAGGAGATAAAAGATTGGAACATTGAAATATTGGATGAGAATGGTAAATGGCATCAATCTCTTCAAGTGCACCACGTTGTTGCCCTTGATTTTTTACATTTGTGTTTGGGCTGTTGCGCATGTGACGTGTCCTGGCATTATTTCTCTACATTCAAAAAGGATTTTACAGGTCGGCTTATGGCGGAACCGTTTGTATCTTTATGTCTTTGACCAATTAGGAGCCACCACGCTGCATGTGCAGAACACACAGGCTTTCTAATAGAAAGGCCGATCTGCCGTGAAATCGGGGACTGTCTGGAAACAAAGTGGGGTTTCCATGAATGCGAGGTGTGGAACGTGAAGAGGGGAATGGCGGAGCACACATTCGTGCTTGTCATGTTATAAACTGGAGCCGGCGAGGCGGAGCGAGGTCCACAGAGACAGCAGAGAGAGAGAGAAAGAGAGAGGGAAAAGGAGGGGAGAGCCCCAGACAGCAAACCCAGTGGCAAATGGCCCTGCTAGAGGATGAGCGAGAGGAGGGGTAGTGGTGGTGGTGGTGGTGGTGGTGGTGGAGTTGGGGAGGAGGGGGATGAGGTGTTGGATGAAGGGGAGGTGAGGAGGGAGAGAGAGTGAGTTATTTATAGCTGTGAATGGGTATGCTGTCCACAAGGACTGCTCTGAAGGGTAAAGGAAAAGGGGCAACGAAGACAGGTTTCTCTCATTTGAATAAAAGGATGGAGATGGGGATGGGGATGGAGTCGGGGGACATGATAATGCAAGGCAGAAAATGGGAGGCGAAGGCACAATTGTGTTACGCTCCTTCAGAGGAGAGGGAAGGAGGAGTGGAGGGGGGTTAATGCTAAACGCCAGGTCATCGTTTTCTCCATTTTTGAGACAGTTCTTGTGTTTCTCGTGCAACAGAGACTCTAGTCTCAGATATTCACAGCACGTCAACGATAAGAAAAGAAAAAAAAGTAGTTGCAGCAGGAAGCATTGTAAAGGAAATGGCCAGGAGTAGATTCAATAAGTGAAGAGGGAGGGGAGAAGGAGGAGCTAGAGATAGAATTAGGGGGGAGAAAAAAAAAAGGAATGGGAATCAATGTGCATCTCAATGCACTGACTGAGTGTGTGTGTGTGTGTGAGTGTGTGTGTTTCTCACTTGCCATTCCAGCTGCTCTCTCTCATTCTATTTATAGCTCCGTAGGAGAGAGTGTGTGTCTCTATGTGTGTGTGTATGTGTGTGTAAGTGGGGGTGGAGATGTGACAGCATTTCCATCCTGCACCCATAACACACACACACACAGACACACACACACACACACACACACACCCTTCCTCGCTCTGTCAGCCTCACCTTCACTCCTTATCTCGGGGAGGCTAAACGAGTCTGACCTAGCATCAACGTCACAGCACACACACACATACACACACACAGGCGAGGGGCATTCCCTCCCAGTACAAAAGAAGAAGCCTATATCCCCCACTCTATAACTGCTGCTTAATGAATATGGATGTTCCCTCCTCTCTGGGTGTTTTTTTTATGATGTATTTTACACTGTTGTACTAATGCACTGGAGAAAAGAGCGTTGTCTCACTCGCTGCTGAAAAACCTTACACATCCAACTACAACCTGACACTTTCCTTCCTAAAAACCAATATCAGTGCACTTTCAGTTTGATTTCAAAAAGCTTTTAGTACTAAACGTCATCCTTTGATTGTTGCTGCTTGATACTTTCCCAACCTGCCTGAGGAGCTTTTCCGTGGCGGTCCAAGTATCCAGGTCACATATCACCTACTTTATCCTTAAAACTGAGGATCCAGGCCACCACAAGACAGGACTGACCCGACACTAAGCGCCATGCAGCAGAGAGCAGACAAAATATTCAACCCTATTTTTGCTGCCTTATTCAGTATCTCTAAATTTAGCTCATTTGTGCCAAAGAACGCAACAAAACGTTATCAGTGTTTCCCCCTAGAGTTTGATCCTGGCTGGGTGGAAAAGCCTGTGAAAATGCCACGGCCGTGAGAAACTGAACACAGTAATCCAGGATGCTAATGCTCGGCTCATCGGTGAACATCTTGCCAGTGCACAGAGATGAATCCTCTGTGTGGTCAGGGGTTGGTGTCTCTTCAGCAGAGCGCCAGACTATCAGGGATTTCATGCTGCCATGTCATGATTTCACACATGTGTCTAATAGCTGCTTGGCTTTAGCGTCGCTAAAAAGCCTTTTGTTTCTTCTGCCCCTGTTCTGCACAAGCACACAAACCAAACGATGTTGGAGAATGGTACCCCAACATGTTCTGTCTCATTAAATCTGCCGCATTCCTCTTCTTTTTGCTAAAGTAACATGCATCCTTCAACTGTCAGGGAGGAGGTGGTAAGAGAAATTAAACAGATATTTCAGAGAGAGAGAGAGAGAGTGCTGACAGGAGACAGGAAATTAAGGAGCAACTATCACACTCAGTTGGATTTAAACACATGGTATGTGGGAATGTAGCTTTCACTATAGCACAGCAGATGGTGGGAGTGAAGTCATTTCTCAATTTCTGTTTCTCGAGCCTGGTTTGAACCAGTCTTGGTAACTGCTGTATGTGTATTCATATGTATTCTATTGGTTATCACACAAAAGCCATGCTTGTTTAAAACAAATAACAGCTTGGCCAGATTTTCTCATTAGACAACACATTTACAGCTAGTACTGCACATTAATTCATGTTGTCTTCAGTGTAATGTGACTTGACAAGCTGTGCAGGCAATATACTATGCAATATACACATCTACACACTGACACATTATCTATATATATGTTTATGTGGCTTTCTACAGACAGGTAAATATAATCCACACTTTACACATGTTAGTAGCTCATGTTTTCCTTATTTTTGGTTACTGTGGATGCCATATTGAGTTTCCATTTCTCCTTAACTATCTTTGGAAAAGAGGAAAACATGCAAACATGCAAAGAGCATAGATTAACATTAAAATGAATACAGTAACTCCATACAGAGAGTTACAGTTATAGGGAGTTCAAACCAGGACCCTCTTGCAGTGATGTGACAGTGCTAACCATTGAACCACTGTGCCCTCATAATATTCTCAATGATTGGGCTTGATACGCAGACATTTCTGGGGCATACAGCTACTCTCGAGGCAAAATTGATATCGTTAGTTGAGTTAAAGGCCGTGCAAACCCATGGTAAAGCCACACATGTGATTTTAATTCTTTTGGCTGGTTCAGGGCTGTGTAGTCGTGTACAGACTGAGCTTGACTGACATCTTTTTCAATCTCCCATTAGCTTTGTTGGGTGGGAAAAATACACTGTTGCCACTGGGTGCGCTACAAAACCTGCTCTGCTTTGTACTGGTAGGGTGTAGGTATACTCCATTTCAATTTGGCTTGCAAATAGGGACATGCCGGCTTGGGCACTTAAAAGATGTGAAAAGACATTTAATTTTCTGATAGAGATTCAACGTCATACCTGCTGCCTCATGCTGCCAGCACTCCATTTGAAGCAGGTTTTCCCACCCTTGCCACTACATAACAAGTTGTACAGCCAAATGGAGCGCAGCCATTACTTTTAAATCATTTAAGTCTGTTGACAACCCGTAAATTCTAGCAGAGCTTAGTCCACCTTCGACCTGAGAAGAGGTCTAATCAGCAAGACTAATTGGAAACACCTGTATGGTTGTGCAGGACCTTCAAACCTCAATGGACCTCACCTCACCTGCGCTGTTCCTATTATGACAAGTCAAAATGTCTTCTGTGAAAAATTACTATTTCAAATCAATGTTTTTGGCATTTAGGAAAATACACTGGTTAGTTTTTTCCCAAAAGTTACATGAGTAAACAGATACCATTCTCATGTCTGTGCGTTAACTATGGAGCTAAAGCCAACAAGTGGGTAGCTTAGAGGAAACTGTTAGTATGGCTCTGTCCAAAGCCCAAAAAGCCTACCAGCACCTCTAAAGCTTTGTTCCCTTAACTGTATCTCATTATGTTAATCTGTTCATGTACCAAGTTGTGGTTTTACAGGCCTCTGAGTGCTGGAACTCTTTCCAGGTGCAGTGACCTCTGTCTTGTTGTTGCCTTGAGTTTGCCAGTCATCCAGCAGCGACTCCGGTAAGTCACTGCGCCCGTAATAATTGTTTTAATTCTCTTTGACCTCTGCTCAGAGTGGACCTCGATATTTAAATCAGTTCTCTGAACAGCTTTGTTGGTATCACTGATATGATTTACTTCATACCTCATAAAACGTCTTTCTTCTATTGAGGCTGATTGGCCTTTTGTGGAGTCCCCTCAAGGGTTTATCTTGGGTCCCTGATTATTCTCTATTAATATGCTCTCCTCTGGGTATATCATGCTGTTTAAAAGTCAAATAAAGCCTTGTATTTATTGTTGATGTATACTGCATTATGTCATTTCTCCCTTATAATAAAAGCTGGATAAACAAACATTTTAAAGATTCAGAGATCCTAACAATTACCCATTCTGATCCCTGCACTAGCACTATGAATGATATTATGTGTAGTCTGGTTTGCCTGTCAACAAACTCCGGTCTGTCATTAAATGCTCAAGTGGTCTAACTGTGTTTAATTTTAACTAGGGCACATCACTAAGATGAGATGTTTTATTTTTATTTGCAGCTCTTGAGAAGGTCATTCATACTTATATCTCCTCCAGGGTTGATTGTTGTGACGCACTTGTGGTCTTAGCAGAAGAAATATCAACATAGTACAGTTAAATCAGAACGCTCCTCTGAGGCTAATCGCACTCCAAGAGAAGTGACCACATTACCTAAATCCTTTTCTCCCTTCACAGACTGCTTGTCAAATGCAGAATTGATTTTAAGGTTTTAAGTCAGCTTATTTGTGTGATATGTTAACCCCAAGTGAGGCTGATTGCTGCTTGAGATCCTCTTTCAGGGCCCTTCTCATCACGCATGGCCTCTCAGCTGTGAAAGTCTATGCCACAGAATTTCAGGTTTGCAAAGTTAGTGTCCTATTTGAAATCCTTACTCAAAACGCACTTTTATCTTCAGCATTCCTTTTTCATTCATTCATATTCATATCATTTCAATATTTGATACATCTATAGTGTTTACCTTTACACTGTCTTTTTTGTGTACTGCTATATAAAAGTATTCTTTATTATTAACATACACTCATGTTTAAAACTAATTTTAAACATTACTAGCCTGCAACCAACAAAACATTTTATAAAAGTTATCTAGCTATGAATGCTATGATCACAGATATAAATTCAGAGAATTGCCATTTTTCCCACGAGCTAACTTGCATCCTAAAAAACTGTTTTTTGTTTTTCCCATTGAGGTTTAACTCAACCAAATGTTAATTGTGAGTTGCATCATCTGCATTATTACAATTCCTATTAATATTCTATCTCATTTTACTGCATTGCTTTGCTATTTTGCTCTTGCAGTGTGTCCCCAATGAGATCATTAAAGGTTTAACTTTGCATAATACAGTGGCGCACAGAAGCTAGAATAAGCAGAGCTTATTCTGTCAGACCTGGCTTGAAACACTAAACGTTTTATATTTAATTCAAACCTTTGCTGAAAAGTAATTCAAATAAACATCAGCTGTCACAAGGACATCGACTATCTTCTGTTTGGTTCAATGCATTAAACATTAGCTTTAACCAGCTAATACTGAAAGACCTGCTAGAGCATAGCATTATAGTGCAGTGGTTACACTGCTGTATGACATCAAAATTAATTAAAATGATATAGTGAAGTAAATATCTGTAGGGAATTTAATGTGAATCAGCAGTTTGTGAAAGAAACAACAACAACAACAACATAATAATAATAATGATAATAATAATAATAATTCAATCATTTTGATTATTTTTTTAACTAACACATATCTCTATTACAGTGTTCATTCTCTATCGATTTTGTTTGATCACTCTTCTCATTTTTGATCATCTATAGTATTGCTGTTCTCATTAAGGTTTGATTTCTTGTTGACTTGTTGAATATTTTTCTCATAAACAATTACTTTAATATATTCAGAACATAGTAATTACACTTAATGACGGTGCTATTACATTAGCATATGACTGCTGCTGTTTCCTGAAAACAAATTAGGAGGATTATTAATGAAATAAGGTTCGAGGTATTTCGGCTGTCCAAAAAAAGAAGACAGCAATTTAAATGGTTAACTCGACTGATAGCCGACGTCTGAATCATCACACAGTTGGAAGGTTTAGCTGTGATTTTCCAAGAGGTCGCAGTAAACTGAGAAAAAAATCAGTGAGAAGAGCCAAAAATGGGCCAAGCAATGGGGGGAAGGTCATTAACCAGAGCTACACCAACTGCTGTGTTAACCTGGCAAGCACTCGCACATGCAGATACATGGTGGATAGATACAGATAGATAGATAATTCTGCATACAAGCTTTTTGCTAATACCATTTACCACCTCAAACGCTGATTAAAATTATATATACTTTATTACTTTATTTATTATACTTTATTTCACCTCTCAAATTAACATTATTTAGGTTTTGCTGTGACATGTTATTTACCATCATTGTGTGTGAAGGCAGAACACGCAAAAGAGGAAGAATTGTAAGACATTTTAGGCTTCTTTGAGATGTGTCTGTGCAGCAGACCAGCGTCACTAACATCCAACTTACCGTAATAGCGGCTCGCCCTCCAGGCCCTGACGGCACAGTGTAGGACTCCGTCCAGCCACAGCAGCAGCCAGCTGATGCAGAAGCCCAGCAGCAGCCCCAACATCAAGTCCATCTCCTGCTTGGTCACACTGTCACTCACAAAGTAGTTCTCTGAAGAGTCCACCAAGGAATGGTCCCCATCATATGGGATTACATAGTGGACATGATGCCTGGGACGAGGACAGACAAGGGAAGGTGATGGAAGTTAGATATATGTAAATCAACATATAATTAGTTAAAGTTAAAGAAAGAAATTGACATTACTTAGCCATCTCAAGGCATACAGATGGGTGACAGATTAAAGGAAAAGCTAAGTGCAATCATAAAGTAAACAATTTTGCTACCATTGCTGCTTGGCATATACTGGAGCTCTTCTGGAAGGATGAACGCTAAAAACATGTGATGAGCCCTGTGTAACATGCTGCTCCAGAATCTCCCATCGGTGTTGTATTGGGTTGAGGTCTGGTAATTGTGAAGGTCATAGCATGTGATTCACATCTTTTTCGGACTCATCAAACCATTCCATGAGTCCTCACATCTTGTATGGAAGCACCTGTATTTGTTATGTTGCTCCATTCATTTATTCAGGTGTTACCTTTACCTTTTTGTCTCTCAACTGTATAACTTTAGCATGATACAGGACTTTCCAAATGTCCTTGACCCTGAGGACCAAGGACACTGTTTGTCTATATATACAATATATATATATGCTATATCAAGATGGTGAAACTGTCTACCCTATATATGGTATACTCATTCTAACTTGGATGATGTCTGAAGATTTCTACCATCATTTTAATCAAACTGCACTAATCCGCACTTTGCAGGACACCCCCTGAAGGCCTCTCAAGGACCCTAGAGTGTCCCCAGGCTGCACTTTAGGCAAGTTTAAGGAGACAGGCTTGTGATTGTGAATTATCAGAAAATGCTCACAGCCTGAAATAAGAATAAGAAACACTCTGCTACCTGCAGTAACTACTGGTGCCTTTCAGTATATTTACAGGTAAAGGTCATACCTGCTTAGTATAAACCTTTTTTTTGCTGAGACAAAAACATCATATGAAAAGTAGTGTGCAAGTTCTTGAGCTATCTTAAAACAAGCAATAATTTTGCCAAAGGGGACTTTTTCAAGTCATTTTGGAATTTCTTTCTAGGTTCTTACAATAAAGTCTCTCAATTTTTTTTCAAAGTATAAGAGACATGAAAGGAATCAATATGAATCCAATTTTAATTGTTTTTCCACAAATCCACAGGGTGTGTGATTGCTTCTAACCAGGTGTTCACATCTCACAGGAGAAAAAAGAGGAACAGTGGTGAAAAATATGGAAATGTTACGCTGATAGAATGCAAACCTAAAGACAACGGTGAGTACATCACTCTCTACAATTCTATTACAGCTGAGGGACAACATGCATGATAACACCACATATCAGCTCTGAATATCACTCAGTTGCAGCAGCTACTGATCAACAATCCTCCAGTTCCTTACAATCACTTTGCCACATTGTCCAGCCTTGACTCAGCTCCATTGTAAAACAGATACATCCACACTTGATATGAAAGTCTTACTACACTGGTAATACCTGCCCTCCTGAGAGGGGATGGAGGCTTTTTCCAATCTAACAACACAGGCAGCTGTCTGACAAACACTGTAAAGGAACACAGTGGGAGCTGAGAGATTTAACTGCTGGAAGTGAGTACAGATACACACCTCTGCTCACACACTTTGGAACATTACATTGATAACACGTTTGGACTAATGCAGGTTTTTAAGCCCATTAAGACTTTTTTTCCCCAAAGAGTGCTCTGGTAATTTACTATTGCACTTCCATAAATCTGAAGGATGTGCAAGAGACAGGTAGTTTCTAATATGGGTACTCCAGACCTCTAGTTTGTAACACAAGTTTTCTACATGTTTAAATAAATGTCTGCTTTGCATATCTCTGTCTCTCACTGACATAAAGCTGCTGTGCTTCACACCCAGTGTCTATTGGGTCTTTACCTCTATGATGCACTGGAAGTTAAAGGAACAATGCGTAGGATTAAGTGGCATTTAGCAGATGGCAACCAACTGAATACTGTTTGCCTTCCAAGTGTTCAGAAGAAACTACGGTGACCATGAAACTTGTGAAAGGCCCTCTAGAGCTAGTGTTTGGTTCGTCCACTGTACGGCGGTTTAACATGCTCTCTCTATAGATAAAAAAAGGTAACAAAAATGATTGACACAATGATTCCTATATTCAGGTGATTATACACTAATGAAAACATGAACATTCCAGTACAGCCAATAGACCCCTACTGAATGTCGCACACTGGACCTTTAATGGAAGTTTTTAATGGAGGTGAGCAGCTCTGGACAAATAAAGAACCTCCACCTACAGAAATGCAACTTCATTTACAGAAAATCCACCCATGCTGTTTGATTGACAGATGATCTCTGGGAAGTGCAGTGCGGAAAAATCACAGCACTTTGTACTGAATATGGAGGAAAAAAACAGATCTCGCAGATTAGTGCCTCAAGTATCTTACTTAAGAAGTAGTGGCACCACATGGGAGATCAAACCCCCTGTTGGACCTCACTGACTTGAGCCATACAGACACTGAGGTCCATTAACAGCAAAACATTTTCTCAAAAAACAAAGCTAAGCTCAATGTAAAAATAGGCCAAAATCTTCCTCTGTGTTCCCTGAAGAAGACTTCTGCCCAAATCCCTGTAAATAAAATAAAGGATTACTTTTTGCTGCTTCTATACCTTTAAACAAACTTAAGTCCTGTTCACTTGCACCCTGCAAATCAATGTGTGTGGGTCTTTCTTTCAGATGTTAAAATGAAAACCATGTTTCTGTAAGATTTGAGGATGCAAATGCCACAATAAGGACAACTATCCTGCAGCCTCTCACAACAGCATGACAGCAATAAGCAGGGTACACCCAGCAGCACACACAGTCCCACTCCTGGAATCTCTTCCTCTACCACAGAGGCAGCTATTGTGGGCCAGGCTTCATTCTGTCTACAACTACATCCAAATCAGAGCACAGAGGCTGCCAAATAAAATGACACTTGCTGTGTCCTCGAGCCTGATAAGGTGAGCGCTGTGGGCGTCACGACACCTCCATGCCTCGCGGATGGAAGGGCAGACGAGTGAAGCCCGAGCTCAGGTCTGCCCTGTTTATCCACGTATCCTGCGTTTCTGCTGTTTATATGGAGACAGATGACTGATCCTCATTCAGGAGGTGTTTCCAGGTCACTGAAAGACACTGGGTACAGTAATCTGAGGTTTGACTGTGCATACTGTCCAGTGGTTTGTAGTTTTACTGTTTTATCAGTGCTTATGCATCAACAAATACTTGTATTGGAGGACAAATGATCATTTTAGCATTAGAAATATATAAATCACTGCTAAAAGCTGCTGAAATTAGTTAACTTTCTTTAAAAAAAAAATCCTGTTGGCATTTATAATCTGACCCCTTTTGGCAGTAGCAATGATAACATGATTGTCAAAATATTACCATCTCATCATAAATCCTACCTCCAAACATATTTTATTTGTCTTGATTAGTCCATATAACATCACATCTGTCTGTGTGTGTGAGAAGCCTCCCAAACTTTGACTCAGATTATCCCTGTTTGACAAGCATAATCTAATAGCACCTGATGATGACCCATTTCTGGATTTACAGGCTAAAAAAACACACACAGTGGAACTGGCCTCTTAATGCTGCTAATGAACTGATTGTACATCAACCCCCTCACTGCAGTATGCACAGTATACACTGCTGGTTTCATTTAATGTGCATCTGTTCGGCCTGCAGCAACATGAATATATAGTGACATTCCCACCTAAGACACTGATCTGTCCTGGTGGCTATAGGTTGCCTGCAAGAGAGGAGTCAATCAGGATCTAATATCTGAGGACAATATATGTGTGAATGTATTGGATAAAAGGACTCCTTGCTCCAACACTGTTGCTATACCCTCAGGCATTGTAGACTTAAAAAAAAAAAAAAAAACAGAGGCCCACTTGTGTCTCTTCTCATCCACACAGCCTACATAGGCTAGCCTGCTGTATTACATGCTCACTGTTGATGGAAAATGCATAATAATGCTGATTAAATCCGACTTAATTTATTAATGAGTGTCTTGCTGCTGCCCCCCCCCCACACACACACACTTCAAACCTGCTCTCACTGTGGCAGCAAACAGCAGGTAATGGTAATACCAGCCAGTATACCCACAGCTCCATAGCACTTCTGAAGCCATAACCACTTCACTTCAACACTCATACGTTCATAATTGGCAGCAGCAGCAGCAGCAGCAGCTTTATATTCGACACCATGTAGGCCTGCGTGGATCGCGCAGCTCACTTGATGCTCAGATTGTTTTTGAACGGCCTTATATTGCTCATAGTTCATTACCTATTTATGGCTCCGACACACACCTTCGTATCTGCAGCAAAGCCGAAATCCTCGCAGCAAATATAGGCTATAAAAACACACACGCACACACACCGCGAACAAACGCGTGATCGGGCTTTCTGTTAGAGCGAATAATAAAAAGCTGTATGAAAACATCCGCCGCTAGAAGAGCACAGACAGGCTGGTAGCAGCTCGGCTTTGCGGGGGCTTCACCGCCAGAAATCTTCGAGGCCTCTTCAGCAATTAAGAATTAACGGGTAAAAAAAAAAAAAAAGCACACACACCACCATGTTTATTCCAAATATTTGTACGAGGACGATGGCATTTACCTTCCACAGTTGCAGTGACAGACGCGGTCCTCCCCTCGTAGATGCGGTAAGATGTAGTTGTGAAAGCGATCCAGTAGTGCGTTCATGTCCATTAAACAGGCTATCGCCTGCAAAGAACCATGCAAGTCAGCTGGGACATGTCAGACAATATAGGCTAGGCTATTCCTACACACACACGGAGGATTCTCCTCATTAGGCTATTATATAAGATAAATAACAACAGTGAAGATCATAGAGGAAAAATGAGAGGAACATAGCCTTGGCAGATCCTCCCAATTCGAAGAGGGGGGACTCTTGCCTCAAAACGGACTTAGATTATTTATTTATGACAGCAGGTAATTATAGGTAGGCTAACCTACTTCCACATGTCATTGATAGGCCTGCTGTGTATGGTAGTTTGTCGCAAAAAAATGTGGCTGGTTACATTTATGGCACATTTGGCAACAATCTGGTCAAACATTAGCCCCGGTGAGTGGATTAGAAAGCCTTATTGTGGCTGAGGGAGGTGGAGATGTCTTACCATTACAACTGAAGCACCAAGAATCATAAAAATCATGGTGGTTGTGATCATATGCATCAAAACTTCCAAACTGGCCGCCGTCCTGTAGCCCGGGGTTCTACCCGCGGCGGTGGAGGAGACGCTCCGGCTGGGCTCTGGGCGCTCTGTCCCGGCAGGAGCCGCTCATGGAGCCGCCGCGCCGCTCCTGGCTCCCCGTCCCTTCAAACTGCCCGGTCTCCCTCCGTCGTCCCCTCCTACACACACACACACACACACACACACACTGCAAGCCGCTCTCTCAGCCCTCACTGCGCCCTCTCTCCATCCAAGTAATCCCCCCCCCGGTCGGTCGGATGCGGCTGCCGCTCGCTCCGAGGAGGCAGTTCTCTCCTAATTACCGATGCAAAAGTGATCCGTTCTCCCAGGTGCGTTTCTATCTCTATCCCAGGTTACAAAAACATCAAGAAAAACAAGTGAAGGGATCCCCCGATATCCCCTGCAGGGTGCCTCGGTATCCTCTCTCCCCCTTTTCCCAAGTTATTCCACACCGGGGCTGCGCTTTAACACCGGTGAATTCTCTCCTCCATCGGCGAAAACGGTCGATTTCTCTCGCCTGGACGTTTCAAAGAGCTGCACCGACTCCTCTCACGGCCATCGCCCTCTTCTTTCTCGGAACGCTTAACAGCATCGACATGAGGTCCAGATAGCTCCAGTCGGGAACTAGACCCACCCTGCGCCCCGAGTCCAGTCCGGATCCCGCAACGGCAGCTGCATCAACGCCCGGAGCCAGACACGCATGATTATCCCATCCTGGCTTCCAGCAGCTACACGAGCATCCACTCCCACCTCTTGTGCATGTGCGCGTGCGTGCGTCAGGGCGTGCACGCAGGGGGGGCGCGCGTCCGTGCGTGAGAGAGAAAGAGAGTGTATAGTGGGCGGTATGAGAGGGGAGAACTGCAAACTGCCTTTATGGCACCAGTCTATAGGCTCATTATTAATAGTGGATACCTGCAGATGCTCCGGAGCCGGCTTCAGCAATGCCACTCTTCGTGATGATTTAACCTCCTCTTTCTCCAGAGGTTTAACCCTTCTTTACCCCTTAACGCCGCCACTTGGACACACACACACACACACACACATACACACACACAAACGCCCTTGCTTTCTATTTCTCTTCCAGACATTGCAGCTCTTCAGTTTCTCATTCTGCACCATTCCTGCTGTTCCTGCTCCTACTATCCTGCATGTTTTATGTCCAAAAAATAATAAATAAAAATAATACAAATTCTACACTTCAAAATTAAGCCTTTTAGGTTCTTTCTTTAATTAAGCAGCCACATGGGTGAATATTCAGGAATCACGAACTGGCATTGATATTATTTCCTCCAAAACTTAAACAAAACCTTAAAAACACTTTTTACTTCAAAACAAACCTTATACAGATAGTCCTGTTGGTCAAAGTGAAACAACTGACTGCAAAAATAATAGAATATTATGCCATCTTGTGACGACTATTAGACAAAGCTCACTGAGCTATCAGAGAATATCAGTCCTGAATACAACATTGTATAAAAACTAATGCGGATGATTCAGGTTAAACTTTTGGACACTACAAACCAATGCATATATTTCTATATGTTTTTTGTGAACACTACAATAGACAGTGTTAAACATTGTTTCAGAACCATGGACAGCAACCGTACAGCAGCCTGCATCGCTTTACTGCAACACATTTATTGAATTGTTATAAAAACATTTTACATGCATGTTGCACTAACTACTAAAATGGAAACAGTGTGACAACATTAACCTATCTTATAGTATTTTTCATAAAGTGCCCTTTGCTGGTACTGACTTGAACACATCTGCTGTCGTCACCCACAGGCACGCTGCTAGTGTTACTTCATTTCGACCTCCCCCAGTGAAGAAACACAGCCAAGCTGGGCACCAGTGTAGAAGACTCTAATTAAAATCTACAGGGGGTAGAATGGGGGTAATGTAAACATTTAATAATAAAATGACTTGAAACCTGATAAAGCACAGTTATGAGTGCAGCTACAAACTCAAAGTTGCATGAGAGTATGAGCATTTGTCTGCTATAAAAGTGATCAGACAGTCACTTTTACATTAATGCATGAAACAACATGAGACAATATATATATAGCATATATTAAAATCAACAATAATAGTACGAAGTCAAGGGCCTTGAGAATCAATTGACGTTTCAAGATAGATACCGTACGTTGCTGTTGACACAAGTCAAAAAAGTGAGTTTTTGTAACTGGGTGAACTGAACTTCAAAATATTTTTCTTGCATGTAATAGTAAGTAATTCTGTTTACTTCCTGTGGATTATTCCCAGCATTAAAATCCCCAAATTTACCAAAAACTGCAATATTTGCATTTGGTTCCAGGCAGAAATGACTGTGCGTCAGCTGGGAGGAACCTTATTCCACTTTATTACAGCCGTAAACCTTAATGTCTTGGCTGTTAAAATAAGCAGTACAGACTGTGTGTTGAACAGTTACTTGGTTTGGCAGAATCTAGTTTAAACCATTGTAAGGATATCTCAGTGTATCAGGATATTCCCTTGCATGTTGGATCATGTTAAAAAGGGTTAGGGTAAGGGTAAGAGCAAACCAGTGAAGGTGACAAAGCGAGCGTCAGTCATAAATGTAACATTATTGTCAGTTGAATTGGACTTTCTTTGATATAATGTACTATTTTAGCCTGACATCAAGTTAAAAAAAGGCTCTTCTTAGCGTAATGATTTATTGTGTCCTCTAGGACTGACTCACATATACACACGCGCAAACATACTGTACATGTACATAAATGATTTGTTGTCTACGCTCGGCTGACTGCTCTTCTGTTCCACTCAGGTGACTGACGCTGATTGCTGCACATGCACAAATGCATGGATAGGCTCCAGGCCATTACATCTGTGCCATCACTCACTACAGTCTATGGTAAACCACACACAAACTAACGTCTGTAGATGTATGTCCTGTTTCTTTTTCACGCCAGCTGGTTTGCTACACATTTGTGTTCTTTTTTTCCTGATTTTAGGAAATAGAATGGTTTTACTGCTTCCTTCTGTTTCCTGATGCAGTTTTATGTCTTGAGGCCATGTTTTTTGGTCTCAGTGTGTCTGCTTGTCTTTTTACATAGCAAACATCCGGTTTATTGCTTCTCAGCCCACTCCTCCTCCACATTATTTTCACCAACTGTGTGGAGTCATCAGAAGGAGTTGGTGGTAAGCAGATTATTTCGAAGAGTTGAGGAGAGCAGAAGGTGGAGTGATTTTCAGAAGCAAAATTTCTTTCAAAATCGTAATCCGGCCTCCTACTTTGTCCTAATTCACAGTCGGCAATATAAAATGACACAGAGCTTTTTGTGTTGTCACAAAGATCAGATAGATAGATAGATAGATAGATAGATAGATATGCCGTACATAATCCACATTACATAATTCCCTTTCAGCAGTTTTCACGTCGTGTCTTGGGTTTTGGTGTAGTGCATACTGACGTTTTGTTTTTTATTAAATAAAACTGCTGCCATCATTACCACCAATGCGTTTGTTTCATCGCCAATGCGGTTTGGCCCATACCCCCTTCCGTACGTTTTGACGTCGAGGAACATACGTATGCGGAAGTTCAGTTGTAAACAAAAACGAAAACGGACAATCAGTACATTCCTCTTCTGAGCCCCAAAACATTAAAAACATAGTTATATCTTGTCGAACGCAGCTTGTTGATGGTAAGTTTCAATATATCAACTGCGCCAAGCTGTCAGGTTGGTTACTATAGAGCTATAAGGGGAGGAGATGTTATATAAGTAGCGTTAATATGCAGCCGCTCAATGCTAACTAGCTAGCTGCTAGCTGTCGAACTTCGTGTTAGCTAACATCGAACTGACGTCAACAAAACTCGGTTCTGTTAACAGGTAACGTTACTAGGCAACAGCACTAGTTAGTAACGTTACTAGGCAACAGCACTAGTTAGTAACGTTACGTAGTTACTAATTAATGCCAGTGCTAGTAATAAGGCAGCTAGCTTTATAACGAAGTCCGTCGGATTTGCATTTAGCTTCAGTCATAACCTTACAAGGAATGTTTAACTGGTTAACATTAACTGGTTAACATAACACAGTTAACGTTAGTACTGTTTCAGCGTCGGTCGGGTCACAGTTTACCTAAAGAACAACTACAAAAACACATATCGTAAGTCAAAATGTGAAAGACACCTTTATATGACTTTTTCATCCCATATTTGGTTCAGCCTTCAATTTGGTAAATGTATATCTACCCCAAACACCACTAACTATGGGATCATCTGTACTGACTAGCAGTCCTGTTACTTACTGTTGCATTATACTGGAACAAATTGCTGTTTAATATATTATTAATATATCATTTATCCAATGTGCAGTAAATAATAGAAATAGAAAAGCCCATGGCTTACTAGCTCTTGTCCAGATGTATAGTCCAAGAATTTTAGCATAAAAGTGTCAGATTTCCTGGTGGAGTTTGGCATAATGTCCTCTACATCAGGGACAGACAATGGTGGGATGTTTATCTTTTGAAAAATGCAGCTTCACAGAAGACTAACGGGCTGAAATGACAGCCTTAGTGTCCTGTAATGATGCTCTAATAAAACAATATAAATCTTTACATATTCATCCCCCCACCTCTGTTTCTGTGTCTTATTAAATAGGTTCCAGATGTGTGGCAGTGGTTGATGCAAGTGCCAGCTCATTACCTTAAGAAGACATTCTTTGGTGTTGTTGGCCCGCAGAAACGACTGCAGTCAACATGTCAAGAAAACAGACGCCAAAACCCGTACGGAGCAACAAGAAGAGCGAACTGGAACGCAAGAGGGATGAGCGGGCAGCGCGCCGGGCCATCGTGAAGGACCGCAAGAATCGGCCTCAGGATTGCGATGAAGGAGCGGAGTTTGTCAGTTTCTCCAATCAGCTCCAGGCGCTGGGGCTGAAGCTGAGAGAAGTCCCCGGAGATGGGTAAGATTGTGCTGTGCTTTGTTTTCCTCTGTATTGTCCTGTACCGCCACTGATACTGCA